TCATCCAAGTCGGTATTCATGAGCCTGGGGATGGGTGGTGACGACCAAACTTACACCTGATGGCCAACCAATACATCACATACCTTCTGTGAAAGACCTGGGAGTACTTTCACGTTGCTATTTGAAGTCCGTTGACAACAAGAACACGTTATATCGTAACAGGCTGCGCATGTTTCAGGCGCTCAAACGCAGCTTTTATACATCGTCTGAGGTGGACACTCGCATCTTCTCTGCCATCATCAGACCAATTGTAGAACACGGCCCGCCCACATATTGCCCGGGTACGCGCGGCAAGGCGCAGAAGATTGAACGAGTTCAACGTGCCGCTACCAGGCTAATCCGCAGTTTGCGAGACTTACCGTACGAGGACAGGTGTGAAAGGCTGGAACTGTATACCCTGGCATATCGTAGGTTGCCAGTCCACCTCACTATGACCTACCGAATTCAACATGTAAGCGACTCCCTCAGAGTAGGGCCCCTGCTCCACTTGGGAACGCCTTGCAGCATGTGCGGACAACAGTAAAAGCCTGGGGTTCCAGATCTGAAGCGAGTGTCCATCCCATGTGCTCGGAACGGTTTGCCGGAATAATTAGTGGAAGCGGACTGAGTGCAGCAGTTCAAAGGATCGTTAGAAGTGCATTTCGCGAATGTGCGATTTTGATAACGATTATCTGCAAACATGTCATATTTTTATGTCCTAATGTACTGTCAGTTAAAGGATTTTTGACCATATCACATGAGAATGTAAAAAAGGATGAGTACTAACAAGTCATAGTTTGCGTTTTTAACGCTTTGATCATATTTCAAAGGAGTTGTAGGGATTCAAATTTCGACTTGCGCCCACGATACCGTATTCAGATGCTAATCAGCGGTAGGCGGATCCCAAATGGCAATTGACACGTTGTTTGGGATTCCAATACTAGTTAGGCGCTTCGATCGCGACAGGGGTCTTCATAGCACTTATTCGCAGATTGTATCAGTCTGGTTTGTCTAAGTCCGTTGTGGGAAATGCTAACAAAAATTGCCAGATCAGTGTACAGATAAGCGATCGGTGTGGAAAGTCAAACCGCATGCTGCGTTCGTTTGAGTCGAATGCCGACTATTTCTCGGAGTCTCGACTGAACTCCATCGCGCAAACGCGGCGTGTTCTGCGTCTTTTCATTCCCGCTAACTAGCAACACACATTGGTATCCCTTATAGATAGAAAACAGGGAGCCTTCTATTACACAAATAAAACCTTCCATGCGTCCACCTGCCTTTTTGAATAACACCTGAAAACTATACCCTTGAATAAAGATCGAGAACTGCCAAACGACTGTAAAGATAATTTTTATCATTCTACTCTTTTTTGAACAACTTCGAAAGAGAAAGAATAAATAAAATGTGTTTTCTATCTGCAACAGATACATCTGAGCAGACATGATCATGGGCTATGTAAAGTCCAAATAAAACTTCATTTTCCTCCCACAATGGATTAGACATGTGCATAAATGATATCCCCATATCTAAGCCCTTGCACTATTCTCATTTTCATAACGACTTCTAACTGATTCGTGAGCTGTCTACTGCCGTTAATTTGAATCATAGTACTAGGGTCACAGGAACCTCTGCATTTTATTGCACCTACCCAGACCGTGCGTAGTACAACTTTCCGTTTAAGTTGCGCAATTTGTGCTTAAGTTAAGAAAGCTTATCGTCGCTACAAGTCACATATTACAGCATCATAGAAGGAAACATGTTCGTACATCTCAGCAAAAAGCCGGTATGAACAGAAGCTTGCGAAGGCCTGGAGGCGGTGGGTTGCGCGTCACAGGGACCATAGATAATATACACTTTGAAAAGTGATTAAAAATTGTATTTGAATCGTGGAAATTTGTCCCAACAGAGCAAGGTAAAGAATTGTGCCGCACAAGATTTATATGTTAACGGTTCAACGTATGTGCTCTCTAAAACCCCGTTCCATCAGTTCTAATGTTGGACGAAATATGCAGCTCGACGAAGCCTATAGACAGGCAGCGGCCATCGGAACAACGTTAGAGGTACATAGATCTTTATGAGTGACATGGAGAAAACGGTGTAGCAGCGTTACCAGAGAGCCACCGTACATATGGCTGGCACCAGGAGTCACGACTGCCTTCGATAAGCTGCCTATCATATAATGGTACCGTAGTCAAAATAGGAAAATGTCGATCAGTACAGAGGCAACGGGACAAAGAGGCGATGTAGCTTAGCCTAGTGAAGACCAAACAGACATCCTTCGGCTCTCCGGGTACAAGGTGATGAGGCGATTGGGGTTGGTGGTAAACATGTTTCCTTAAGATCTGCCACCTCCACCTGCTTAATGGTGTAAAGCAAACAAAATAGTCCTAGGAAGAAGCTGCGACTGATAAAAAGTAAGGTGCAGATAAAAACGGGAAGTATTAATGTGAATAACGACTAGTGTTGGAGAAAGATGCGAGGTACTGACTGGATTTGTGAGAAGACAGGAGAAGTATAATCAATAGCAAGCACTATTACAATGAATGTTCATGGAACCAGATTCACCAAAATGTTAGAATAGCAGGAAAAACGATTAGAACTGTAGGAACAAGTTGGAATATGGTCATGGAGCAATATAACAGGAGTTCTTAAAATAAGTATACAAACCTTAATACACCAGCTGATAGTGTCTATTATGGGCGTCAACAAGTTACGTGTGATCTCAGAACAATAGCCAGTCAGGTGGAGAGCAACATAAAGTGCGGACCAACAGTAGGTGAAAATGGGAAAATTAATACCAAACTGTTGGGTCTTCCGTTTCTGTGCGTTCGCGATTAAGCAGATTTTGTTAGCTGCAAACTGCCAATCTCATCCCAAATAGGTCAGCAACATTGTGCCCCAGCCTATGGCAGCATAAGAGAGAAAAGAGCAAGAATGGTGTAAAAACGAACGGAGATAAAAATGCAACCCAGGAGTGTTCGTTACAGAACAGTTAGTTCAGCTGTCAGAATTAGCAGTTTAGTTCTGCTCGACTAATGGGTTACGTGACTGGTTTGAGTCTTCTCGAAACGACTTGGTGCATCGGCTGTACACCATTGGATCAAATCGTTTCGCCAATGACGCGTCCTCATTTGAGATCGTGGCTTGTGGTTTTAATGTCGGCGTTTTGCTCCTACTGGTCCTTCGATTGGGTTAAAATGCCTTCGGATGTGGCTCTGGACTGTCGGTCAGATCGGTCCGCTGATTGCGACCCTTTAAGTCGGCCTGCGATATTTTGAAGCGAGCCCCAATAGAGTCCGTTGACTTGGTCGCGTCCTGTTGGTACAAAGGTTGGATGCAGCTGATTTACATGGTAAGTCCCGGTTTGCGATCAAACATCCCTACGTTTACATTTGATTCTATCTGGAGTCCACGTCGCGTAGTCTCTCCGGTAGTTACGTGCGAATATTGGCTCTCCGGGCATAGTGAGCTTTGGTTTGCCTTTTACCGTCGAGAGAACTCGCTCCACTTTTAAGCCGCTTTCCTAACACTAAGACTTTGGAACCGACCGAAGGGCATGGGTAGCATACGGAGCCATTTGTTCACCACTGCTTCTGCCAGGGACATTCAATTCGGCGCCTTCGGGTTGGAATTTACTCGAATTGGGTTGCAGATCTTATTAGCGAGGACAACGAAAAGTCCTAATCAACCGATCCAGTCGATTCCGAGAATACTGATTATTCTCCTTTTCGCACTCCACTAAATGAGATTTTGCAGGTAACTGCTCCAACCAGATTCGGCAATCTGTCAGGTGTAATGAGCCACTTTAGTAAAAGCAACTATTATCGATCTATCGATTTAGCTCCATGTGCTTTTGGACAAGATATGTGTGCCCGAGGACGAGTCAAACTGTGGTCTCGCAGAAATCCCGCTTACAACCACGGTGAAGAAGTGTGCGCGGGATTGAAGCCACCTTGGAAAGAGACACTGCACCGAGTTTTCAAAATTGTTCGTTGGGTGAAACTTTTTCACATTCACTGACTAGGATTGTTTACATAATTCTTCTTCATGGCCCCGTCTAATGAACTCTTGGAAGGTGTGCCTTTTGAACGAACAGAATTCGTGTAAACTGACACTAACCGTATGACCACCAGACAGTAGGTGGCTTGTTCTGCGAGTTCGGAAAACTTTTCAGATATTTCGACTGGAGTTGTCACAGTGTGGACAATTCGCAATGGTACGGAAGAATCCTTTTCGACAATGGCATTGTTATGCTTCATAGTCAACAATAGGTCGTAAAGGATTTCAATGTCGGGTATGGGGCTTGATCCAAATCGGAGAGTAGCCGGGTGCAAATTTCGACACCTTGTATAGACTGTAAGGCACCGAAAAATATGGTAACCTTAAATTGGCCATCTATCAAGCGGCGCAACTCAAAGCGCTCACAATCACATTTGAGCATACTGACAGCGTCCCATAATCACGTGTGTCATACTTCAGAATGAAAGAAAATGCCGAATAGCGATGATGACTCACTGAAAATTTCGCTAAGTAGTGACACCGTCTCGTCAAAGCTGAGACTTAGTGGTTGTTTTGGCTGTGGGTGATCGAGGAAACTTGAAGGTTTATTTGACCAAGTTTGCGGAGCGGCAGTTGCACTTTACAATAAGCATCCTGAGGTTGTAATTCGTTCGAAACCCATCCACCCGGCGTTTCTGCCACGCATCAAGAGTCCATCTGAAATCACTGTCCTTTTAGAATCCAGTAATAAAATTGAGAAGTTGCATACATCACCTGCAAAGCTAGTTCAGTAGACTAAAGCATGAGACACTGCGTCAAAGTTCTGGCCAGCTTTATTTGCGCCACTATGTGTGCTTGCTGTTTCCACAGCAGTTGTAGAATTGCTCTGCGGAAAATTCGATGCATTTCAACTTTTACCGTAAATATGATTATGTTAAGGTAAACGACTAAATACCAAAAGGCTGGCATCCAGAATTGAAGCCATTGGTAAAGTAAAAACAGGATAGTACAGGTAGCCTTACCCGCCGATATAGTTGATTGGAAGTAGGTGCTATCAATGAAGCCGTCTGTTTCATCGATCTCCAAGGATTGGCATGGGGCTGTTACTAAGTCCTCACAACCAGAGAAGCGGTCCACCTGATGAGCACCTTGAAAGAAGTTGGGGAAATACAGTGGAACCAATAGAATGCTAAGATTACAACAGGTAAATGACTGGTAATACTTTCAAAGAAATACTGCATAAACACGGGAACCACCAAACATGCTCAGACGTTTTATTCCACAGCGACCCAGAAATGCCGACCATCGGACATCTGAGATTAAGATAAGTGAGAAGAGATTGACGGTTTGATGAGTGGATCCATGAAAGTGAAAAAACCAAAAGTGTATTATTAACGAAGGCACGCAGGATATAGGTGGAATAAACAACATGGTAATCCAGCGTCCCAATGTGGATCTCCCGAATGAATTCAGGACGGTGACACGAAACCTAACAATTGACTCCGACAAAGACAAGTGTTCAACGGCAATGGCTACCGAGTTTCTGTATCAACATCAACAGCAGCACATCGGTACTTAATGTGGTGGTGGTGGTACATTAAAGTATAGAAAGAGAAAGTGAACGGAAAGTCGGCAAGAAGATCGTCATGCAGATATCGCCCGTGTGCCGATTAACCGGCAGAGAAAGTAACCATGATCGCTAAACGATCGGCAAGACAAAAATCGATGGTGTGTAACCATTACTAGAGTATGGTAAGATGTAAGTGGCTCATGCGGCAAGTTGCAGAATAGTAGCTGGTCGATGAACTTTGGCAGGCGGAGCAGTAAGGACAAGATGAAGGGCCATGGTCCGCGCGCTAAAGATGTCACTTAGACTTTAAAAGGTTATTCAACTTGTTTTATCTATGGAGGGCTACGCAAACTTTCACACAAATGCCTCACTAAAAGACAAAGATACAAAAACGTCGGTTACCCAAAGAATGAGAAACAGGGCCAGTAAAAAGGAAGTTGAGATCAATAAGTAAGCATTAAAGATCAGGCTGCCTTCAGTTCGCCAATCAAGCACGGTGGCAAACAAATGGTCATTACCAAAAATGAGATTGCATCGATGAGACAGATGACAGGTGGTTTCCACTGATCCGCGTTGTATTTAACCACACCACGCAAATAAGTTGGTAAAATAGTATAAACTAGCAACCCTGATAGCAGACAACAGCAAACGCGTCATTGGTATCGACTGCAAACAGTGTCCAGTGAGGTCTCGAGGCAAACATATGGTGGGTCGCGCGGACCTATTTTAATCAATGAGGTCGAACTTGTCTTCATCAAGTCAATTACGCCCTTCCCTGTCATTGTTACCCTAGAAGCGGCAAGCAAAATAATATCCTCTCAGAAGGCAAGGAGAGAGCACAGTTAACATGATAACCAAGAGGACTAGAACGAGAAAGAGGGAAAGGTAACGGGGTGTCAGTAGTATACCAGCGTGCTGCATAAAGGATTCGGTGGAACGCGACACCAAATAAGCGAATGCACACTTCACTGCTGTGACCAACATAGCTATTCAAGATAAGCACCAAAATGGTGAGACGAGTGCCAAGGCCTGCAGGTCATTATTGGTAATACTGGCATCTCGAGTGGTGGATGACGGTGTTCGGTTCCTTACCGAACATCCTAACGTTTAGGACATCGGATTGACAGAGCGAATTTCACAGCCTGAGAAGGCAGTCTTCGCTGGGTTAATGTATACAAGGGCTTCAAAAACTGGGCAACCAAAAGTATCGTAGAATGGTAAAAATAGCAAACACGACTGAAACAGGTAAGCAAATTTTGGCAGCTACAAGGCCGCTACCGCACCCCGTACATATAAATAGAATGTTCATTTTGGACAACGAGAAGAAGCATGCATGTACAGACATGATCACGTTACGAGGGCAACTAGTGACCGGGAAATGTATAAAAATACATTTTGTCATAACCTCACGCTGAGATTGATGTTGCATACATCATGCTTCTTCACCGCAGCTGGGCTACATTGACATGCACATAAACTAGATTTTCTTAACCTGGATAAAACGTATACGCTTTCTTTTGGTTTGCTCAATTTTGTTATTCTGTTGCATATTCCGTGTCAATTTTTTGTTTATTTTCCTTCAAATTCTGTGCTGATTGTCTGGTAACCCTAGTGCGATTGCGCTTGATGTGAATGTTGACAGTGTATATCTGTATAACACTCTCAACCTCCATTACTTGTTCCATGAGTGCTAATCTTAGTTGGGGGAGGGGACGGGGTGCACGGTCCTCGTGGCCGTGTCAGGCTCAAAGAGTAGTTCCATCTAATGTGGAGCGGACGTAGTCCGCTCTGTGCAAGTGCTTTGAACATGATTCCCCCCATACATAGATAGGAATGATGCCGCTTTGTTTGTCGGAGTATGGCCAACTACGTTGATGAAACGTGGCTTCCATCCATATACCCCCTACCCCGATTTAATTCGTTCGGGTTTACATTGATTTAGTGGCGTGCGGATGATGCAATACAAGCCACCCATGGTCCAAATGTAGGCGCAAACGCACTGTGAATGTTTTATGGAGGCTAGAGTGACAGGCAAATCCAGAACCGGATGACACCAACCATGTGCGTAGCTGCGTTGCCTGGATTTGTAAATGTGCAGCGGCATTTTTGACTGTTTGATCGCTTCGGCAATGGGCGACTAGATTACTGACATCTAAGGATTGAATATGATTATCGGGATAAGAAAGGGGCAGTGACTAGTTTGTGGCAAACCACAACCGCCATGTCGCAGTGTTGTAAAGCAAACATTTGCGGTTTAAGACAAGGAGAATGCTGACAAGACGAAGTCCACCACCTGTTAAAACTACTAACTAGTTGCTGAAACCAGGTAAACACGAACCACCCAGCTGGCAGCACGGGGAGGATATTTGGGTAGCTATTTTGATTTTAAACTGGACGTCTTGCAAACCAAGTTGGATATTTTGCGAACTAAATTGGACACATTGCATTCTAAGCAGAAAAGCAGCAAGTTGTTAGCAGAATGTAAGGAGTGAGATAACTGGACGTTGTTCAGAACACACTGTGGTCATGCTGATGCCACTGAACTTGAAAGCAGTAGGCGATTGTGCAAGTCCTTCTCTTGATTATGTGTGCCGTTCACCACGAGCAAAGGCGGTGACCCAGTATACCCATGTCTCTCTATAGAAATAAAATAGAGTCAGCTGTGCGCCGTAACGGCGCTTCGCTGCCGCTAGTGGGCTGAGTATCCCGCGAGGACGCCCGCCCCTACGCGGATTCCAACCGGCGACCTTATGATTGTAGGCCAGGGGTGCAGACCACTCGGCCATCGCGTAGTTTGTGTACGCGTGTGGGCGACCCAATGCCGCCGCACCATTATTGGAATAGTGTAGGAAGTCATTACTCCAACAAACCTAGCACAGCTTTAGTAGCCCTATGCTGCATGAAACGATCAAAATGAGCGACGAACGACGAGAGGACGCATCTCCGAGACAGCGACGGTGCAAGCGAACGTCGTTGGCACAGAAAGTGGTCCTAAACAAGCTTGTGTCTGTCGACGGCAAAACCACACACGAAGCTGCCGAAGTCGCCGATGTCAACGAGGGCGCGGCAAGTAGCATCATCAATGCCTACAAGAGTAAACAACCGGGAGAAGCTGACTCCCGGTGTGCTGCAGCGCGTTGAAGAGACAGTTGCACTGCATTCCGAGAACATCAAAGTGCAACGGTTAAGAGAACGGGACCCACCTTCCGTGTCTACGGTCGTCAACACCCTCAGAAGGCTAAAGATAATGCTCAGGAAGTGCGACTACGCGCTAGACCGTAACAACAACGCCACGACAATCCAACTTGGCGGGTCTACGATCTCGAAATCCCAGCAAAGGCACTACTTCTACCCCCCAGCAGTTTGGTTTGAAAAACGCATACTTTAAAATTAAAATCGTTTATTAACAAGAAAGCTGTGTCGGTAGAGACAGTCAGTTGATGAAGGGCTGTCCGGTTGTTGGGTTTGTCAAGTTCAGCATTATATTAAAAGCACAGTGCAGTCCTGCTGGGTTACTATTCTAACGCTCTCCTGAATGACCGCACTTAGCATCTGGTTATGCGTCAGGTTGGTTAGCAGATGTCTCGCCGACGCATACATCTTCGAAAATACATTTTCTACTACATTTTGCATGTACGAGTACGGGACAGGAATATAAGTTGGTAGGACGAGACCAAGACTCCCATTAGATCACCCAGCATGTGGATCCTGGCATTGTTCATGATCACCCACGCACCGTACATCTCCACTCTGCAGCGTGTATGCGCCACAAGTTCCTCGATGAACATCGAGAATTTTGCAAGATTGCAAGTGGCACCATTGAGGCTTGGATGAACGAAACCTTGACTGTTTATTGCAACAAGCAGCGTCACTGTGCGGCCTCTGAGTGTGGACAAGAGGACGTTCGTGCGCGCCCCTCTTCGTGAGTGAACCAGCGTCCGCCGCTGATGGAGAGTTAACCAGCCATCATCTATGAAGATGCATTTCTCTTTGTAATGCGGTGCGTGTACCAAGATGTTGAGAGCGTGGGCCTGCCAGTTGCGATGATCGTGGCACTGTTGACGTGGTCTAAATCGTAGTGACACAAATTGAGCGAAACATTTAAACCTCTGAGGAAATTGAAGACAGTGGACACGGAAAAGTGGACCCGGTTCTCTCGCAGCCGCCGCTGCAGTTGCGTCAATATGTTATCGGAATACCGTTCAACGGTCACTATAACGTAGTGCAAAGATCGGGAGTCAATTTCTCCCTGTTAGTTGGCGGAATTCGATTGCGGATTTGCCTGTCACTTCAACCTCCACAAGACTCCTTTGCCTACAGAGGGAACATGGATGGCTTGCGCTGCAGCACACACAGCTCCCTCCACACAACCCATATCCAGTGCAAACCCGAAGGAATAAGATCGAGAAGCATGCGAAATGGAGGTAAGTTTCGTCACCGGAGCCAGCCTACAAAACTTCATGCACAGCAGTAACGTACCCGTCTATCTAAGTGTGGAATCATGCGGAGCAGACGTACAAATGGCGGTGGCTTAGCCGTAACTAGAGAAGAAAAAGTCTTTAAAAAGCTGGATAAAAGAAGAGGCATAACAAATCGTCAACATAAAGAGGTTGTTTGGGTGCTTCGCGCAGGTCTTCCAGTCTCGTGATCTGAAAGAGCAAGTCAAAAAGTGCTCAATGACGAGTTTCATCTGAGTGCCCGGCAACAGGCTCCGTTAATGACAACGGTGAGCGGTAGTCACATATTTCTGAAGATACTCATCAACTACTCAGAAGCAGTAAGATTGAGCACACCAGCCACTGAACAATTATTTATACAAATCGAGCACAGTGATCAGTTACCGATGGAGAGATTGCGATCAAAACTGTCGCTCATTTTGGAGCACATGCATAGAAGACGACCTTGCACCTGTATATAAGTCCAGTTCCGCAGTTGTGTTTCGGCGGATGCCGATGACGACGCTGTGAGCAATTAGACATTTGACAACTGGCGAAGCCATATGTTCAAACTACATATCAAAGAAGGCTGGCACCAGTGATGACTAACCGCCCTCTGGACACGCTAAAGGTCGCTGGTGGCTCGATGCAGCATACATGGTGCCGTTGCTTATCCATCGCGACGGCCAGAACATCAGGGAATTGCTTGAAGTTAAGGTCATTGTGTAACGCAGACTGGAAACTGTTAGGATTCCTAGGCCCAAACAGGAAAACGATTGGAGTTATCAACCAAAGCTACTGATTCAAAAACCTTGTTGCAAGGCCAAAGAGTCCGCTGTATGGAGTAAGGAACCACCCTCCCCCTGAAGAGCCGTGAGACAGACCGACGTATCTGGTATGAGTAGCTCTGAAGATGCAAAAAGCACAATCCAGCGTAGCTCTATGAATTGTTGAGACAGCCAAACCATCGCACAACATTAAAGTCCAGTCCCCGTGATGGCTAGTGGTGAGAAAACGGAACAGTAATTGACCGGTGATTGGTCTTGTCACCCAGCCCAAGTAGACATATATGGTTGGCGGCATCCGGTTTCGGATTGGCCTGTCACTGTGGCCAGCCACAGGACGCCTGCGCTTACAGAGGAACCATGGGTGGCTTGCGCTGCACCACCCACAGCTCCAACCACACACCCCATATCCAGTGTAAACCCGAAGGAATAAGACCGGGAGGCATGTGGATGGTAGCCATGTTTCATCAACGGAGCCGGCCCACACTCCTTCACAGGCAAACACAAGCACGCTGTATTTGGGGAATCAAGCGCACACAAGGCGGTGGCTGGACCGTAGTCCGCTCCACACTGAGTGCATGGAACCGCTCTTCGAGCCTAGCACGGCCACAAGGACCGTGCACCCCGTCCCCTCCAGCAACGACAAACTGTCTCCTGGAGCCAGTATGAACGAGGTAGTGGGTAATAGACAGGTAGGCACCTTGTCAACATGCACATCAAGCGCAGCCACACCGGGGATACCAAGCAACAGCCAATCACTTGAAACGACAAGATGAAATAAAACAAATCCAATAATGCTACACATACGGTGGCATAACTCTTCGCTAAATTAGCATATGAAGTAAGTTGGTTAGCAACGAACCCGCGATAAGGAAAAAATGTCCACAAGTTACTTAAACATGCTACAAACGCAACAAAGTTATCGAAGATAAGCGCAATTAGCGAAAGCAACGTGGCCAGTTAATAGAAGATTATTCAGGTAGGCAGAACAAACCAAATAAAGTGGAATGAAATTTAGCCAGCTTAAAAAGACCTAGTTTAAGTGTAAGTTGGTTTAGCCCAACTGCGGTGAAGAAGCATCAAGAATGCAACATCAGCCTCAGCATGGGGCAATATATATATATATATATATATATATATATATATATATATATATATGGTGCAGAGGAGTGCTATCTAAAACAGTGCAATTGACCGATAATACCACAAACCGCGAGAAATTTCTGTACTACAATGGGAGACCACAAGAGATGCATGTTATGGTCGCCAAGAAAGGAGCCTGAATACAAAGAGATACTAAAAGATTCGTAAGTGTCGAGATCTCTAGCAGAAGATTGTCGAAGCGTTGGAAATCACCAGAGCCAATAGTTGCGTGAATAAAACGGGTGGGGTGGAGATGTCATATATACGGCGAGCTGGCTTAACCCGGCCAGTTTGGTGGGTTTCCGTGAACGGATTCCGCTCGGGGAGCGAAGATCTAACCACTTCCACTCCCATGACCGAGAAGGATTTATGTGCAGTTACTCCGTAACGTGGACCACTTGAGACCCTTCTTTATGTAACATTTAAGATGACACATCGATCTCTACTATATCCTTCGTTTTTCGTGACTACCCTCCCAGTTTAAATACCACACCAATTAGATATCAGTTCACTTGGTCTAGCGAAGTCTTTGTGTTGAAAGCAAAACGTTGCCAGCCCAAAACACTAACAGATTTTCCCAAACTTTTCTGAAATCATGAGTTCTCAACTGGTTCCAAGTATATTTCAAGATGTCGAATACCTGTCATAGTCGACTAGTGGATCAACTTTATGGATCAGAGAACAGGTACATGCTAAACGCTGTAGCAAGAAGGAATTTTAACGGATATTAAAAACAGTTGCCACAAGCTAGCGGATGTACGCTAACGCTACGCTGCTATGCTATGATAACCGGTCGCACATGAGCTGGAAAATTGTAATAGTGTCTGAATCCATGTACGAATGGGGTTCGAACGGAAGGCGTACTGTTATGTTATGAATCCGTGTAGCCCAGAGAACCACCAACACACCACGCACGTGTGGTCTCCAGTACATGGGGTGGGTTAGGGCGCGAACATCGCTAAAGTAAGTGGCATCGTTTTGACTTTCTTGTCAGAGGCTGAAGACCTAGTGTTGCTGACTAGAAATTTCAAGAATTAAAATGGAAACTGAGTTTAGCGGCGCTCCTGTCACGCCATCCAACTGAACGCCGATAGTAAGCTACGAGCGTGTTGATTTCTGTTGCTTGACAACAGGGAATCGTTGACCTAAACACTTGCTCCTTTCTCGATAGCAATATACGAATACATACCATATATTGAACATTTGACCACCAGTACAATTAGCAACGAGGAAGAGTAACAAAAAGCTAATAGATACGGAGAAGGCATAGCATTGTCAACTGGAAATTCGTTGAATCGTCATGATAAAAATCTAGAAGATCTAAATTACATAGAAATAGTGTTATCGTGATATATGTAATTCCTGACCACGTAAAAAATGAACGAGATGTCGGGGTAAGTCCAAATCGCAGAGTTTTCACGACTAGTAAGCACAGATTTATCAAAAGAAGGAGGAAAAACAGGGCACAGTGTTGGTTAAAACAAACCTTTCCGGAACGGACATTAGAAGAACACAGTGAGCTTACCTAGATATTGTTTGTCTATTTCGTTCACATCATCCAGAGGCGAGAAACCAACTGCGTGTGCCAATCCACTGTCCTCGGAAACGCCAAAATAAAGTTCATCGACGTAATCTACAGTAGCAAGTGCGCAGAAATTCACGCGAGTATACTTTCCAAATCGGCCTCTCTCTTCCGCTGACTTTCAAGCTTTCGTAGTGCCTGATCCTGTTCAATTCCGAAGAAATCCTGCGGACAAACTATTAGTGAAATGATTTATCAAATAAACCGCAACCCATAAGCCAGGAAGGACTAGTAAATATTGTGTATTTACTCGAAAGCTACAAATTTAAAGAGCGGAACAGAAGTGGAATGAGAAAGGAAAGGTTAAAAATGTGACAGGACAGGATGATCCTTTGGAGCATCGGTGAATATGAGTCCAGCAAACACGTCATGCTTCCAACGAGGATGCTTTAGCATCTTGCAGCATGCAACGTCATCCAACTCAAAACCGAAGTGCAGCATTTTTTCGTCCGTTTCAGTCATAGTGGCTTCGCCGTGTGAGCCGAGATACTGTGAAATAGATGAAAAAACGCGTAGTGCACATACCGGTAGTCCAGTATGAGGATTTATGAAATCAGCCCAGTATCCAAGTGCCTTTAAGGAGGCGCAAATGTCGATTGCGGACCTTGTAAACTAGGATTATGAAGGTAAGGCGAAAATTGCAGTACTAACCGACTCAGCAAGTGCCTCGCGCTCCATAACAGCCGATTCGCCCCATTGGTTGGGACCCGCAGTTGTGCGATGGCTGAGAACAATCGCTGTCAAAGGACTAGTCCCAAAGTTTTTCGATGGAAACACGGAGGCCAGATCTGACGTCAAAACAGTATGAAGTACAATCGGAACAAACCTTGTTTGATCAAAGTCGGGCAGGTCAGGATAGTGCATTCCAGAAGGTCTGATTTTGGTGGAATTAGCAGTTGTTCCGAGTTGTTGAGCTGGCATGGGAGCAATAGAAAAGTAAAAATGCCGATAGAAACATGGACAGATGACATAAAGGAGGATGTGCGTTTATGGAATGCGTTAGTAATCTTAATGACCAGCTTAGGTGGGAAAAGGATGTAGCACATGGATTTTGCTTGAGAGAGTTCGCAGGAGACAATCAAGCAAATCGAAGCAATTCATGTGTCTGCTGCCACTTTCTCACTGCATCTATCCGAAGAGAATGCAGTTTCCGAAGTCGCTCGATGCACCTTGGGCACTGATCTGAGCTTCTGGGCTGAAGGTGATCTGATGGAGGAGATCCCAAGCACCAGCCGAATGTGTGCAATCAGATTGGCTGGCTTTCTCAAAGTTTAGGAGCCGCGCAGGTAAAGAAGAAGGATATTAGTTAGTGCTATCTACACCCCATAAAACACAGTGTTAATTCTGTCAAATATAACTAATATCGTCAAGTGAACGGGAGTCCTTCGTCACCGAAAAGGTACGGACATGGTGGTGCCAGCTGATGATCTGAACGCTAAAGTTGGAAAACTGTAGGATGATGGGCAGCATCTGGACGACCAACACGGTGTAGGTTACCGTTATGATAACGGTGAGCTGTAGGTAAACATGGGTGAAGATGCTTGTTTATTTCTATCGAGCATAAATCTCCGACATATCACACGCCGAAGGGTGACATTGTACCCACTAGTCTCGGACTAGACATGGACGCAAATCCATCACATGGTGGTCAGTTGCCATTGGAAGGGTTGCGTCCAAAACTATCGCTCGAATTGAAATAAAGCGTCGACTCCGACCAAGCACTGGTGGTTACTGATCTGCAAGTGTGTTTCGGCAGATGCAAGGAGCGATGCTGCGAGCACATAGACTTTTGTCAAGTAGTGACGCCAGATGTGCTGAATGCGTATCAAAGTACACTGAAATTCGCGCTAGGCACAAAATAAAAACAGCTGGAGGTCACGGGTTGCAAGATAGTCAGACGGCAATAGTAACACGTTTTTTGTGGGAAATCCGATTGCCGACCTTAACAAAGGAGCTCCATACATTCCCTTGAACTTGCAGATGCCCACCGACGCACTCAAATGGGGACTGGACACCATGAGGCTCGCAAAGGCCCAAAGGAAAAGCTGAGTGCTAGTCTGAAGAGATACCTCATGCCATAATTTGTGATAGTTCACAAAAGTGCTAAGCAGCACTGGGCAAGTGTTAGCCCCAGCTGCTGGGCTATGCCTTGCAGCCCGAAAAATGTAGAGCTCTCACACAAGATCGGCGGCGCCACTTCTCGCACTGACCTTTACTGAGAATCAGTTAGAAATCGTTCAACTACCCGGACAGCTATACAGCAGTCATGAAGTAGATCATGCAACAAATCTCAGAGCTGAAGATCGACGCACTTTTACCAAACACCGAACTCGTCGCTGGCACAACATCACACTCTCCCTGAAGCGTAGAATTCACAATACATACATCCGCTTAGTTCTTCCGTATCGCTGTGTAATATCTCCCATCAGATTTACAGTTGTAGAGGCTAGTTGCGATCGACCACCAGTGTCTGCGCACTTAGACTCACGTCTACGTTTCCTTATCTGGTTAACAGCATACGAAAAACAAGTGATTTTATATATATATATATATATATATATATATATATATATATATATATATATATATATATATATATATATATATATATATATATGCTTAGCGGCATCCGGTTTCGGATTTGCCTGTCACTGTAGCCAGCCACAGGACACCTGCGCCTACAGAAGGACCATGGGTGGCTTGCGCTGCAACACCCACAGCTCCACAAACACATCCCATATCCGGTGTAAACCCGAAGGAATAAGACCGGGAGGCATGTGGATGGGAGCCATGTTTCATCAACGGAGCCGGCTCACACTCCTTTAACAAGCAGAACAGAAGCATTCCGGCCTAATTCGGAAATCATGAACACCAGACGTACACATGGTGGTGGCTGGACCGTAGCCCGTTCCACACAGTCTAGCACCGTTACGAGGACGGTGCACTCCGTCCCCTCCAGCGACGATAAACTGTTTTTTGGAGCCAGTATGGACGAGGTAGTGGGTAATAGACAGGTAGGCATCTTGTCAACATTCACATCAAGCGCATCCACACCGGGGAGCTGAAGTAACATCTACTTCTGAAATGCAAGATTACTCGTCACGCAAGCAAAGGTACCACATACGCCGCCTTATTGGCCCGGATTAGTAAATCGAATGGGAGCGTATGCATCATGCTTCTATTCCGCGTGCAATAGTACCTTCTCCTGCACCTGAGTAAATGCCCTTAGGATCAGTCCACGGAGTTCGCATCGATCAAATTTGCCTTGGATTCACAACAGTTGAAATCAACATGAGTTTGTCATAAACTCACCTTCTTCATGTTCTGGTAAGATTATTTTCGGTTTACTCGAGTGCCGTTTCCCGAAGGTAAGCGTACAAAAGTGGTATGAGTATCCTCGTCGAATTCACTCGGCATACATATATACATAAATTGCCGTCATCCGTGTCCAATGGCAGTTCGAATACAACATATGCACATGCGTTTATCCAAACTTAAGTGTGAACTGTCACAAATTGGATAGACTCTCGAACATAAACGCCAACATACTGTCATCAGAGCAAACAAGCTTTTCCGTGATCTGTGACAGCAGCAGTGCCGTCAGGGCCAAACAACACTGGGGTGCGCGAGTTCATGTTGTTTCGCCTTTTGACATCCGCGAAAAAGCGTTTCGGGTTTGGTGAGGCTATCCGAGCAAGCTCTACTTCATGGTGTAGTCGAGCACCTCGTAGATGCTACCTGAAGGCATTTCGAGCCTCTCGGTAGCGCTTGAAGGTGCATGATGAAGCAGCAGATAAGTATGCCAACATCTGGGACGTCTGTTAAGTTGTCTGCGTACAGCAGAATCAAACCGGGGTGGATTTGCTCTAGCTATTTTTGACAGACAATGGTATATGGGGGAGAGAGCTCACTCAAGTATGATCTAAGTCTGTCCCAGGCAGTTTGAATTTGGTCACTTTCCAAAATGACAAGGCGACTTTGCGGCCTTGGCTTTCAATGTCTGAAAGTCCACGCGCCAGATGTTTGGAACTCGGTCGGAACGATCATTAGTCTGACGATAAAGGGCGCAATTAAATGAGAGACATACGTGGTCGCTAACACCGAGAGGTGGGTTGTATACAATATCCGTGACAAAATCAATGAATTTAGTGAAGATCAAGTCCAAGAGGGACGGGTTTTGACCCATCATGAATCTAGTGGGCCGATCGACAAACTGGTGCACGGGAGCATGCAAGGCCAGCTCGAGAAGCTCGGTAGCCAAACACCTTGTAACCGCGTCGCAGGAAAAAGTCTGCCAGTCAACGTCGGGAGGATTAAAGTTCTCCATCACTAAACACCTATTTGCAGAATGTTCACGGAGGAAATCAACGAGACCCTTAGCAACGCTGTGAAGGCTTCTATAGATAAGCACAACTTTAAGTTGCGCGGAGGCAATACATAGGTTAACTGAGAGTGCCACATCACTGTCTGGTGATCGGAAACTATAAGCCTTGAAGACAGTAAGTGCGGAGTTAACGTACAAAGCAACGCCACCTCCGCGCCGATCAGAGGTGAGGTCACACCTCAGCAGTGCTTAGCCTGGTAAGTACACTTCACTGTCCGTGACGTCGGTGGACAACCAGGTTACTGTGAATGCGAGAGCACTTGGACAGCAGTCGTCGACAAGGGCGCCGACTTCGTACAGCTTGTTTCGCAGGCTACGCACATTGCTTAAGATCACCTGAAGGGAGTTAGCATTGAGTAAGGGATCGTGCGCCACCAGAACCGGCTCTGCTAGGGCGGAAGTGGACCGCCGGCTCACCACCCAAAAATCCACCAAGCGGAGACCATTTTTTCCTGCTTCACGACAGGCTTTAAGATTTCTCACAGCTTCCCGCAATTTCAGCCCATAAGCCAAAAGGTCTGAGTGCACAATGACATCAATGCCCTTGAGCTTAAAGAGAAAAGGCCGAAGTGCTTGGCGCACCTCCGGTGTGGACAGAACAACTCGCAATAAGCGAGGGCGAGACTTTTCAGCTGGCAAGTTACCGAGTTTGGTTAGTTTGTGCACAGTCACGCCGGGGAAGCCGGGCGGTAGGAGTTTGGTAACGCATATTCCAAACCACTGAAAGTCATCTAGCACACGGTCTTTTGGGAGAACATCAGATGACTCAGTGGCGTTTCTGGAAATAACACTGCAGTCAGTATACGAGTCCCCGCGATGCGGAGTATTTACCGAACGCTCCGTGAACGTCGGTGGTTTCAGTTTAGCGTCCGTTTTTATAGACTCTAATGTCGTAGATGATTCCAGTTGTAAAGATTCCGTAGTAGTAGAATTTGAGGGGGTGGAGATAAGGCACCCGACGGACCTATCACGTCTACCTAAGGTTTTGCCGCTATTTTAACCCCCTTACGCTTTCTTTTGACAAGGGCAAAAGTCTGCTGTTCTACCTCGCTAACAGCCGAATCAAACACACTAGCTGCGGGTTCGTTACTAATAGGGTCGTTGCTAACAGGTATACTGACATATGACGGTGAACAAACATGCAGGGTCTGACCATTTGCCAGTGTCTTCTAGTGTCTCCTGACAGAGAAGACCTGAGCGTTCCAGGCCCTTCACAATCCATTCAACATTTCTGTCAAGCGAGGCAATCAGAGACAGCAAACTTTCCAGAGAAATAGGACTGTTCTTTACTGGCGTGTAACCTTCAGCCTTGCGCACACAACAGTTACTACAACGGCACAGTAAACTCTCGCTTCTGGATAGAAGAGCATGCTGTCTACGACCCAAGCCAGTACAAACTTTATGGAACCAACGGTTAAAGATATCGCACTGCAAGCCCCCGAAAGAATCTGTAAACGCTTCTAGACACCTCGCTTTGCCATACATGAACATATATATATATATATATATATATATATATATATATATATA